CTCTTAATGAATCCAAGACCCATGAGGCAGGATGCTTACTTGCTCGCATCCTTATTAGGATTCACCTATATGTGTGTAGTTGTGAGGCCGCGACTATGGGATCAGGGCTGCTCCCTAGTAACACACATGAAAGATACCTGCGCAAGGCCGATAATAGCGCAACCCGTTTAGAATTCTTCAAAACTGTACTATGTGTGCTTTCTGTAGAAATCCGATAAATGAGACTGGTTCAAGGCGAAGTCCACCAAGCTCTCACGGATCTATACAACTGTCACTAAGTGAAGGTTCAAACCGAAAGGTACCTCCACCTATTACATAGTATAAGGGAACCAGCAATCGTATTTATTTCTTTTATTGTTATTTCTGAACTATTTTAAGTTTTAAGTTATGTGGGGGATTGTTGGAATTATATAATAAAAGATAACTTAAAACTTGACTTTGTAGAGGAAAAGAGGGAAAGTTTAGTCCCACATAGGAAATGGGATAGAAAAAAGGGGTCCTTATAAGCCTTCCCTTTCTCTCCTATGCCTAGAAGAAAACAAAGGTTATGCTCCACACCACACACGCGCGCGCCGGCCGGGCCGGGCTCGGGCTCGGGTTCGGGTCGGGTCGGGTGGCGCGCGCACACGACCTGCGGACACGAATGCAGCTCCGGATTAATGGGCCCTTAATCTGCTACATTTTTATTTTTAAATAATTAAAATATAATTTTTATTTTTGAACAATTAACATGTGATAAATATTTTGTAACCGAAATATTTTGTAACGGAAAATATTTATTAGTGTGATTAAAAACGTGATAAACATTTTGCGAATTAATTATGTAACGGAAATGTTTTGATAACGGCTAAGTTTTATTAACGTGATTAAAACCGTGTTAATTACGGGGTTTATAAGTAACGGCTGTTTTTCCCTATAAAAGGATCTAAAATCCGCAGAGTTTAACACAGCGAAAAGTAACAACCTCTTCTTCACCTTCTCTGTTCTTCTCTTTCAAAATACTTACTGTTACAATTTGCTGGTTCCCTGAAAGTTTACGAAGAATTCGCAAAGCCTTCTTGAAGCTCGTGCCGACGAGAAGGAGGTCGCCTGACCGAGGGTCGTTGTATCTCCGGGAGCTTTTGCCGCGTAGCCCTGTACGAGAGGGGGCAATTAGTTTCTTGGGACAGTGCTTGCACGCCTCGACCATCAGGCCGTATTTCTAACCTCTATTTACTTTTCATTTGATATATTTCTTATATCTGCGTTATAATAGTAATTATCTGTTAATTATCAAATTGCTTAAACTGATTTTCGTTATTGTCTAAACAGCTAATATTCCCAACAATCTTTACTTTATAGATCGAAAAGATCTTTGCCTTATAGATCGATGAGATATTTGACAGCACTGGGTGGGTGCACACCAGAGTACTGGACTGTTGTTCCTGAAAGCAATTTGGCCTTGGGATCCTTGCACCGGAGTAGACCAAATAATGCTTTAAGCACAACGTTTTATAAACGCACAGCAACTGAGTTAAAAATTTTAAATTACTACACTTTAATTTTCTGTTCAGTTTTTGCTGTTATATATCTGTATTATTCCAGATTTAACCACAGACACCAACATCCTTGAACTGAACAAGCTAGGGATAGACTTATGGATATACTACACTAAGAGATAAATTCATGAATATCTTCGTAGGTTGAGAACAACTAGGGATAGACTTATGAATATACTAAGAGACAAATTCATGAATATGATTTTGTACTTACTAAGTATAAGATAAAGTCGATAGAGATAATTTGGTCCTGAGCAAAGGAGGTCACAAACTGCACAATTATGAGAGATAAATAAGATGATGATTATGTCCATAATGAGTGACACAACAGGCACACCATGTGCCACACCCTCAGCCACACTCTCCTCTCTCTGCTACAGTAACCAGGGCCCACATGAGATTTTTTATAAAAATCTCATGTGGGCCCCGGTTGCTGTAGCAGAGAGAGGAGAGTGTGGCTGAGGGTGTGGCACATGGTGTGCTTGTATGATTTTTGGTCCATAATAAGTCCAACATATTAAAGTAATCATAGTTAGGTATATGTATGCCTTAATGTTACAGATTGACCAAACCTGTCAATGTGTAATTCTGTAGCTAACTAAATCTAAAACAATTTTTAGCGGTGGGCTACGTCTAAACTGTCGTTTTGAAACTCCTTGCACAAGCTAGAAGCTACACGGAACTTTGTATATATGTTATGACATACTCCTGAGGATAAACTAATATCAATCACACGAGAGCACGGAAAATATCAAGAACACATGAACACAAAGATATACGTGATTCGACTTGTAGTCTACGTCCATGGGCAAAGAAGGAGAAAACTTTACTAAATTGTGAGGAATACAAAGTGGAATCTCTCAATCACTCAATCCTAAATAACACCCCAAAAGCCTAATACAACTCTCAACTAAATGAACAAAAGAGAAGAATATCAAATAGGCTTCACAAAAGAACTCTCTCTTCTTGATTGGTGCTCTGAAGATTGAAGCTTCTAATTGGCTTGAAAGACTGTTCTTATATAGCCTTGAAGACCCCATCTCCTTGCTGTCTAAGGAATGAGAATCTCTAATAGGAATAGAAGTCCACATGTCCTAAAACCCAACAAGAGTCCAAGTAGAAATAAACATCTAATATGATTGGTTGTGCAAAGTCCAATGTAAGTAGGACTCTTGATCAAAATTAACAAACCAACCTAAAAAGAAACTCCCAAAGCAATATGGGTTTGAGTATTTGAGGCAACCTATAACAATATACTTACTTTTCCACATATCTAATCATCTATATACATTTTCTTGTCATATACACAACGCAAGCAAGTGCATTGCACATGCCTCCTCACTTGTATACATAAAGATCCCTTCCAGAGTTAGATTTAACATAGAGAAGATGAAAAGAGAAAGAGGTCATATATACCTAAAATTTTAGACGAACCAACGAATTTCGATCAGATGTGCTGATACATGTTCAGAGTAGAAGATATTGATTGCAGTACTAGTGTTGATATATATTTTGCATTGATCGCACTGATTTAGATACGATAGTGCTGTTGCGCTCTCCTTTCTCCCTGTATGATTTTCTATAAAGAGCCTCTAAAAGTCTTAGGAGGGATGTATACGCTTACTCCTTTAACTCGTTAATAATTTTTTTGAGCATATTGTTCCAAATACCAAAAAGAAAAAAAAATAATTTGTTGTGCCTCTCTCTATGCAATCTTTCTTCCCTTCAGATATAACTCATGGGCCTAAGAAAATTGTGGTTAGGCACAGTTTTACGCCCAGAGCAACAGGATTTTGACTGAGCAATTGGCTTACTTGTGCTAGATAATGGGCCTGTGATGATAATTAAAGTAATTCATTTGTTGATTGGTTCAATAGCTAGCTTGAGTTCACAAATAGAAGTACAATATCAACGGAGAGAGATGCGTACGTATCAATCTAAGCTTAGCATCTCTATTGAAACTTGAAAGTGTCAATATCTACATTTTGCACATGGACACCAATGTTACTCTACAACTCACAGAAGGATATGAAATTCTTATAAAAGAAGCAGGTAAGAAAATTATGTGCTCATACCCATTAACATAAATTTAAAAAAAAATGAAATTGTGCTGCCACATTCGAAGATGCGAAGTCCTCAGAGATGGATGACATTGACAGCACATCCTCCTCTTGTCAGACTGCGATATCCAACTGTACATAACCGAGGAGAGGAAGGAAGCAAACGAAAGTCAATTGCTCTCATCATCTCAGAAAACTGAACAGCTTTAACAACTGGAATTTTCAGTGTGCAGGCTTATATCTCAGAAAATTGAACAGCTTTAACCAAGTACTTCTTTTTTTTTTTAAAGTCCAATTGAAATTCACAAGTTGATTCCTCTAGTCCACTAATTTGGTGAGGAACGAACAAATTTAAACAACTGAACAACTATATTTGACTAATTCTTCTTCCCTGTGACAGAGCTTAAACCGCGTCGGCAGTGGCTTAAAATTACAGAAGGATGGCCATGGTTGCAGTTTGTAGCCAATCAACTTTAATAAGCCATGTTCTGTGCAACCCCTACTTAATTTGTGACATTCCGTACTAAAACCATGGCTTAAATTGAGCTTAGCACATGGCATACATATAGTAGTACATTCTGGGACCTATTAGAAATAAACCCAAATTCCATAGTTAACATGAAATCCTACATGTCTTTCCTCACATGGGAAGGGGAAACAAAAAAAATGAAATTTCAGATGTTACATCGATGAACTTTTTATTTTATTTTTTTAACCGGAACTTCATTGCAGGTCCCCAGCAAGGCCTGAAGAATCGATGAATAAAACTACAAAGTTAATCGTTAAGTCGACGATAAAACTACAAAGTTTATCTTCCATGGATTGTATGTATTTGTTGACTCCTCTAATCCTTTAATTTGGCGCGAGGATTTTTAAAAAAAAAAGAAACTCAGCAATTATGTTTGACAAATTTTTGTCTTGTAACAGAGAACAAACAGATAACATTCCCTCATGTAAGTTAACAGGCTTTTTATCCGTTGACAATTGCTCAAGTTGCAGAATGAGCATGACCATGGTTGCATTTTATATCCAGCTCACTTTTATTAATCCATATACCACCAATCATTTAACTTAAATTTGGAAGCTTAATTAAAAGCAAGGTTTATGATGAGCTTACCACATGGGCATACAGTAGCATTACATTCACTTCCATTTGCTGTATATATTATGCTAATCCAACTGCTTTAATATACACCCACATAAAGTCAAACTCCTTCATCTTAACCAAGCTTGCAGAAAGAACAAGCCAAAACAATCTCTTCCGTACGAATGCCAGCCCTTAAGCTCCTTATAAGCTCACACCCTCGCTCTGTTATAAATATGCTAAAGCCATTGATCACCAACTCAAGCATTGAATCAAAGCATTCACTAAGTAGAACATATTCTACATCTCAAGTATTATATGGACTCCAAGTCTCTTTTCAAGCTCCTTCTCCCTCTATCCGTAGCATTCGCCCTCTCAATTGTCGCCAATGCCCAAGGCTTGAAGATAGGGTTTTATGAGAAAACTTGCCCTCAAGCCGAAGCCATCGTGTATGACGAGATGGCGAAGGTCATGTCGGTTGCTCCAACCCTCGCAGGCCCACTGCTCAGGATGCATTTCCACGATTGCTTCGTAAATGTAATAGTCACGAGGAATTTGTCTTCTACATTCTGTCGGTATTATTTTCTCTACGTATATTTGAGATCAGTGGCGGATCTACATATTGTCCGGTGATTGTTACAGGACACCGCTAGATTGCCTATCTTATAACTACTTTATAAATATTTTTACTTTTTCTTGTATTTACTACTCGCATCACCATTAGTTTTAAGGTAGGACACCACTAGTTAAGAAGGATAAAATAGTAAAGTTACCAACATATATAGATTCCTAAGACTATATATCATGATAAATCCTACGAGGAATGCAGCGAGACAAAATCCTGGATATGCCACTGTTTGATATAAGAATGGTTTGCATTATGCGTAGGGATGCGATGCCTCGATACTACTAAACAGCACAGGAAGCGTCCCTCCAGAGAAGGCTTCACCGCCGAATCTTAGCCTAAGGGGCTTCGGCACCATTGATCGCGTCAAGGCTAGGCTAGAAAAGGCTTGCCCTGGGATTGTGTCGTGTGCAGATGTAATAGCTATAGTTGCCAGAGATGTAGTACGTCTGGTAAGATATTTTCATCCATTTTATCAAGAACATTTTTTTTTAGAAATTGGTTCATTAAAACTTTTTCATTATTTATTTTTGCAGTCGAAAGGACCATATTATAATTTACCCACAGGCCGAAGAGATGGAAACCGGTCTGTGATCCTCGATACCCTAGGAAACCTGGCACCTCCGACCTTCAACTTCCAACAGCTAGTCGGTTTATTTTCTGCTAAGGGCCTGAGCGTCAAAGATCTTGTTGTTCTGTCAGGTACGTATCGGTTAATTTATAAACTTTAGAAAATATTTTACATGTGACATATGGATTTATAAAAATTAAATGAGTGACTCGTTTAATAACTAGGTGGTCACACTATCGGCACCTCATTCTGCTCTGCGTTCTCAAACCGACTCTACAACTTCACTGGTAAAGGCGATACCGATCCAAGTATCGATAGCGAGTACGTACCGAAGCTGAAGAGCAAATGCAAGCCAAATGACTTGACCACGTTGGTAGAAATGGACCCTGGGAGCTTCAAGACGTTTGACTCGAGCTACTACAAGCTCGTAGCAAAGAGGAGGTCGTTGTTCACGACAGATGACACTATGCGCTCAAATCCTGCGGCGTTGGCTTTGGTTATGCGCCTTGCTAACAACCAGGCGGAGTTTTTCAAGGAGTTCGGCATTTCAATGGTGAAGATGGGGAACATTGAAGTTCTTACAGGTAATCAGGGTGAGATAAGGAAGAAATGTGCGCTCGTGAATTAGTGTGCTGCAAGCTTGAACCATACTGAACTTTTTATTGGAAGATTAGTTATCCCCCCCCCCCCCCCCCACCATCCGTGTGTTCGGGTTGTTTTTGTTTTTGGTTTGGGGTTGGGGGTGGTGGGGGTGAAGCAGGAGAGTTTTGCTTGAGCCATAAGAGAGCTTCTCAATGTGTGGCTACATCTTCTTTTGTAATTTTTTACTGTAATAATTAATTGTTTGTATTGTATTTGTAATGTGAATGAATAAGTCTGTTTCAGAAAAGTATGTGAAACCAAGGATGTGATTGAACCCCCCCACCCTTCTTTGTGCATTCAACCTTAAGGTGTTTTTGTAATTCATTGGTAAAAGAGTTGCATTATAAGTGACTTTTATGTTTAGTTCAGTATCGAAGGAGGGAGATACCTATCAATCTCAGCTTAACACTTCTACAAGTATATTACAGAACCTAATCCCCCACAAGCGGCTTAGTGGCTGGGGCTTGAGATCTTGGCTCACAAGGCCAAGGTTAGATCCGTGCTTCTAACATGTCTATCCCCAATTTCTAATAATTAGGCTTGCGTCACGCTATTCAAAAACCGAGGTCCCAGAATTTTCTTAGCTGGTACTAAACAAGGTTCCTCTCCAAAAAGAGAGAGGGAAAAAAAAGGCTAATAAACTTACTTGGTTAGAGCTCGTTTGCATAAGAGCATATTGTTGGCATTCTATACTAAAACAATGGCTTAAAATGAGCTTAGCACATGGCGTAAGTTTGAAACTATTACTGCACAGCTTAAATATTTGAAACTATTACTGCACAAAAACCATGTTTTCAGACTACGGGACCTATTGCACACAAAAAACCACATTTCATAGTTATATGAAATCCTCCATGGCTTTTCTCAATTAAATGTATTTTAATTGTCAGAAGTGTTATATCAACGAATAAAGCTGCGAAGTTTATCTTCTATCGGACTGTACATATTTCTCGAGGCCTCTGATCCTTCTCTAATTTGGTGGATTAGCAACTAAATTTAGAAAACCCGGCCAACATGTGACAAAGATTAAATATCACATTACCTCATAAGTCATACCAAGCTTTTTGTCTGTCGACAATTGTTTAAATTACAGAACGAGCATGACCATTGTTGCATTTTGATGCATGACGATCGTGGGATTCGGATCCTCTCCACTACAAAAAAATAGTGGAGGGACCACTACATAATCACAGTCATTGATTATCTAGTTGATGGTTATGATTTTTTTCTTTTAGTGCAAATTAGGAATGAGTGCAATACACGGGGGTATAGTAAGTGTTAGATTTAGATTGTATCATAACCGCCTACTAAATAATCAACGCTTGAGATTAAAAAGTTTTAGATTTACTATAATCTTTTTTTATTTTAGTAATATTTGATGTGCGTAATCTCTATTTCTAGGCAAGATTTCCTAAGGATTTGATTTAGGACTTCTGAGATTTACTTTGTTGGAGATTTTGTCTTTGTTATTCTTTATATTAGGACGGTTTCCAGATTTAATTAGCATTCCTTTTCTATAGATAAAGTTGTAATCCACCATGAGGGAGGGAGGGACACTGATAAAATTTGAGTTGTGAGAATTCTGTTGAGCATGTGAATTGCTTGAGTCCTCCAATCCTTCAATTTGGTGAGCAGCAACCAAATTTAGAAAACCCAAAATTATACTCGACGCGTATTTATCCCGTAACAAAGATTAAACATGTCTCATTGTCTCATAAGCTACAACGGGCCTTTAATCCATTGACAATTGCTTAAATTATAGCTCGTGCTTGACCAAGCTGCAGTTTGTAGTGAAGTCACATTTATATATTAATCCTTATACCACTAATCATAGTTCCAACTTAATTTGTGAAGTTCATGCTACAACAATGGCTTAAACTGAGCTTACCACATGGCATAAGTACCATTATATTCACTGTCATTTGCTGTATAGCCTGTATTATGCTAATTAACTGCTTTAATCTATGGTCAACTCCTTTGTCATGATCCAACTTGCATAATGAATAGGCCAAAAAACAATATCTTACATGCAAATGCCAGCCTTTAAGCTCAAACCCTCACCCTATATAAACACATGATATAAAGACATTCACCAACTCAACCATCTAAGCATTCACTAAGTGATTCCTGTACATCAAATATGGCCTCTAGGTCTCTTTTCAAGCTCCTCCTCCCTCTACCCCTTGTATTTGTTTTATCAGTCATGGCCACTGCTCAGGGCTTGAAGGTAGGGTTCTATGAGAAAACCTGCCCCCAAGCCGAAGCCATCATATACGAGGAGATGACAGAGGTTATGTCGGTTGCCCCAAGCCTCGCAGGCCCATTGCTCAGGATGCATTTCCATGATTGCTTCGTAAAGGTAATATCCTTGACATTATATATGTTCTATATTCCTTGATATTAGTTTTTCAACATACATTTGACATTGATGGAGTGTCGTATGATGTCACACGACGGCACCAGGTTGCCTACTTTATATATACTTTATAGATATTTCTATTTACTTTTACAGCTTTACTTGTGTTTACTACTTAGGACCCCATCCAGAATAAGATTGTCATGTAGAATCCAGACGGTCATGATAAGTCGTATGGCACAAAATCCTTGGTCTGCCACTGTTTGATATAAGAATGAGTTTTATTATGTGTAGGGATGTGATGCGTCGCTCCTACTAAACAGAACAGGGAGCGTCCCTGCGGAAAAGGATTCACCGCCGAACCTTAGCCTAAGGGGCTATAGCACAATTGATCGCGTCAAAGCAAGGTTAGAACAGGCTTGCCCTGGGATTGTATCGTGTGCGGACGTTGTGGCCCTAGTTGCCAGAGATGTAGTTCGTCTGGTGAGATATCTTTCGGCATGTTCTCAAGAACTAATTTTTCAAGAACATGTTTTATCGAAAACTTTGTTATCTATTTCGCAGGCGAAAGGACCATATTACAATATACCCACAGGGCGGAGAGATGGAAACCGATCTGATATCCGTGATACCCTAGGAAACTTACCACCCAGTATCTTCAACTTCCAACAACTGGTCACTATGTTTTCATCCAAGGGGCTGAGCGTCAAAGATCTCGTTGTCCTATCAGGTACATATCGGCTTCTAAACTTAGGACATATTTCGCATGTGCATACTGACCGAGAATAGGATTCCTCTATTAACTAGGCGGTCACACTATCGGTACCTCACACTGCTCAGCATTCTCAAACCGACTCTACAACTTCACTGGAAAAGGTGACACTGATCCAAGTATTGACAGCGAGTATGTGCCGAAGCTGAAGAGCAAATGCAAGCCGAATGACGTGAACACCTTGGTAGAAATGGACCCCGGGAGCTTTAAGACGTTCGATTCGAGCTATTACAAGCTTATAGCAAAGAGGAGGTCTCTCTTCACATCCGATGGTAGTCTCCGCTCAAATCCAGCGGCGTTTGCATTGGTCATGCGCCTTGCAAATAATCAGGCGGAGTTTTTCAAGGAGTTTGGGGTTTCAATGGTGAATATGGGGAACATTGAAGTTCTTACAGGCACCCAGGGTGAGATAAGGAAGACGTGTACACTTGTGAACTAATACGTATGATCTCTGTATGCACTTTTCATCGGGGGTGATCTTTTGTAATAGCATTAATTGAGGCTGGGTTTGTTTTTAACGGTAAAGAGAGAGCTTCTCAATGTTTGATTAGGCTTTCTTTCGTAATTTTGTATTTGTTAATTATCTGTATTGTACTCATTTATAATATGAATGAAGAAGCCTGTTTTGTAATATGTACGTGAGATCAAGGATATGATTGGGGTA